TATATATATATATATATATATATATATATATATATATCTAGATTCTAAATTTACCTACATAATATTAAATTGTTAAAAGAACTAGAAATTTTATAAATTGCATCATATTAGACAAATTAAACAATCATCATCCCTTTGCCATTTGAAGTATGGGAACTCAATATCCTCGGGTCATTCCCTCAATTAGGCATACAACAAAGTTCTTGCACATCACAATAGATTACTTCTTAAAGTCAGTTGAAGCGAAAAAGCACTCACTCGGATCATAATCAAGACATCCGGAACTTCATCTTATTGGACTTAATCTGAAATATTGTTTGTTGCTCATTATAATAACTAAAAACGGGACATGGTTTGCTGATAAAAGAGTGAAAGATTTCAGTCAAAGTCTGAGGATTAACCTAAAACTTACTTTTATTCACTACCCGTGAACAAATGGGCGGGTTGAGGCGGCAAACCAGGTTTTATTAAACCTACAAAGGAAGAATGACGAATGAGCAAGAGGGATTTAGGTTAAAGTTTAGTCATAGTTATATGGGTGACTTATTTGACCCCTTCCACTTCGACCAGGTAAACACCATTCAAGTTGTCACCAAGATGAAAGTTATGCTACCGATCGAGTATAACATTCATAGTAAAATAGTGATGATAGCCAACGTGCATGACGAGATGGATATGATTGAATGTCAAGAGGAAAATAATGAAGAAATAGAACTCGCGCTCGACCAGATGGAAGAAATATTGGTCGACCCAGCCCTCATGCAGGAAGAAAACAAAAGAATGAATTGGTATTACAACAAGCATGTTTGGAAAAATGCATTCTTTTTTGGAGATCTTGTGTTGAAGAAAACAGACCAGATGGAATGCATGCAAACGATTAACAAGCTTAATCAAATGTGGACCAAGTTGTTAATCGTCAATAAACAAGTCACTCTCATGGCCTACAAGTTAAAATCTTACACGGAAAAGGTGGTGCCCCACATGTGGAAATGAGAGTATTTAAAGATGTTTTATTCATGAGCTATGTAAATGTAACAATAGAATAATTATTAAAGTCCCAACTCTTCTGTTTCAATTACGTTTTATTGAGTAAATTTGCACCATACCAATGAAAGTTTTTTTAGCAATGGGTGATCTCAGAGCTAACGGTACTCGACAAACTCGTCTATGGATCACACAAGAAACAATCTAATTTGATCAAACTGACACTCAGGGAACTCAACAAAGATTCACGCAGAGGGTTATCAAGCTTGTGAAGCCTTTTAAGTAGATTTAAGATGAATTATTAAAGTCCCAATTCTTTTGGTTTCAATTATGTTTTCTTGAGTAAATTTGCACAATACCAATGAAAAGTTTTTTAGCAATGGGTGATCTCAAAGCCGACGGATACTCGACAAACTCGTTTATGGATCACACAAGAAACAATCTAATTTGATCAAACTGACACTCAGGGAACTCAACAAAGATTCATGAAAAGGTTATCAAGCTTGTCAAGCCCCTAAAGTAGATTAAAGATGAATTCTTAAATGTCGAGGTGCCTTTTGGTGAGGTGGAAAATTTTCTTTAGAAACTCAAAAGATAAGTGTGCTCATAATTGAGCACTCCTCAGATGGGTGACCTCCAAGGAAGTTACACTAATTAGGCAAAACAGTGAGGTCATTACGTCAAAGCAAATAATACCTTGCAGGATGAGAGTTCGGGCTGTCACAAATGGTATTAGATCATTACAACTCTAGAAAATGTGAAGTGTTGCACCGTGGGAGACACCACTTGAATCCTGTATGGAACAAAATATTGCATGGTGGGAGCTCATGCATGAAATCCCTATTCCCCTAAATGATTACAAACACCTCTTGGTAATTTTTGGTAGCTATTTTTGGTACAACTCACTTGTGGAGTGTCTTATAGAGCCTTGAGACGCATTTGTGGCCTCTAGGGAAGTTTAAGGGTAATATTCAACTCATATCCAGGCTTTCGTGGTCCACACGCAGCTTGAATTCCCCTCCGACAAATTTTTTTGAGGCCCGCGCCTGTGAGGTTCCGGCGTGACCACGGTCAAATCCGATGCGCATAAGCCGTGGCTACTGAAACACACCCAGGCCACCTAGGCAGCGTAACCATGCCTGATGGCAACATAATCACGCAGCCCAACCCAAGAGCCCGTAACAAAAATTAAAGTTGAGGCATTAAATATGTAAATAAAAAAAAAATTGAGTGGTATATACGTAAACCTTCCTAAAATAAATTCAGTCTTCACCTCCTGCAGCCCCACACCATTCAATTTTATTGTCTGGCTAGCTTCCTTTGGGGCATTACTCCGCGAATCGGCACTGCTGTCTTCCGTCGGGCCGCGCAGTTCAGCACCGCAAATAGCGCTCTCACATCCGTCCGGATTCAAACGTCGTAGTCACTTTCCTCCCCAGATACCACCGTCCCCAAATCCTGCCAAAACCTAACCCTCAAATCCTTCCAAACCCTAACCCTAAATCTTAAACTCTTCCAGCGTCTCCAGACCATACCAGGGACTCCCGTCACCGATTCCAAACCAAGTTTTCAACCACCTCCTACCTTTCAGATTCCTTATCTCGTAGAAACGGGACCCTCCATCCTCCTCCCCACCGCGCCGATTCAGATTCCACAGACATCGTTCCAAAATCTTTCGATTTCTACCGTTCCTTTAAGCTCCACTCCCAGATTCTCGATCGCCATTCACACTATCGGAGTTCTTCCGGAGCTGCTGCCCTAGAGGCAGCAGGGCGAAAGCGGGTTGTTTATTATTAAATTGGGAAAATAATATTTATTTAAATAATGTTATAATAAAATAATAACACCCAAAAAAAATTACTATTTGCAAATGAGTCACTCTCTTTCCTCTATTTTTCAAATTTTCACTAAAATATCAAACTTAAACTTAATGATAAAACCCCAGCTATATTTTCATTTCTATCAAATTCACAATGATTTGATGGTGTACATTATAATTATAAAAATCACCTAGATGTTTAATTTATAAATAACAATGTTCTGTATGTAATTATCACTGAAGAATTAGTAGAACAATAATTAAAAATTACTTGATAAAAATACAAAATATTATTCTTTAAATAATTTTAATATTTTAAAGATAAAACTTTCAAATTTAATATATTTTGAGTATATTTTTTTAAACGAGCCCTGACTAGCTTGAGCTTGACTTGATAGTTCATCGAGCTCGGTTCACGAATCACTTATCTCGAGCTGAGCTTGAGCAGGCTTTTGAGTCGGCTTTACTCACTTAAACCCCTAAATCTCACTTCTGATCATGTTACTTTGCATTTCATGTGTTTGAATTCTCACAATTACCCGAACAAGAGGACAACGGATGGAATAATTTCTTCTATGAAAAAAATATACGTCTAGTTAATCGTGTGTCCTAATAATGGTGAGGATCTTATCACTTCATAGTGCATTTCAAAATGAATTTTGTTATAACAAATTAATTTTGTTATGAAAAAAATAAAAAATATATCATCGGGTGAATCGCACGTCTTGACAATGGCAAGAATCTAGCCACATCATAGTACATTTCACTTGATTGGATCATTATCGTTGATCATTGTCGTTGACTGATGACGTGCATACATACTTAATAATTTCTCTCATTTATGGTCACATCCCATGATTATTTTTATTTTTTAAATTTAAACTATTTTTATTAATCCCAACCAAACATAAAAAATAGAATGTAAATTAAAAATGCAATTTATTAATTTTATATGATAGGTTAACGAACTACAAATGACTTAATTTGATTAGAGTATGTCTAAGATCATTCAATTACCATTGAATAACTTGTTGTATATCATTTATGATAATGAATTGCTTAAAAGTTCTAAGTTTGTTAAATGAAAAAAAAGGTTATTAAAGCAATTACGATTTATCTATTTCAAAAATGATTATATACATATAATATAACTTGCTAATTTTAAATTTGTATAGTCCCTAGATGCTTAGCATGGAAGCCAACTCAAGGTTTTCGCTCAACCACCAATAGCGGGACACTCTCCAAGTTGGAATGGGGTTCGTTTTCTCCAACCTTCGCTGAAGTGGGTAACAAAGTAGACACTCCGTCACCAGTGAACGTCATGGTGCAGCGGAAGTGATTGGCCTGCCTTATATCAAAATTTTCCAAGAAGTAGTCAATATGATTATCTGCCAAGGACTGTAGCACCTCTGAATGATGCATAGAGTTGATAAAACCCATCAAATGCGCGTCCTGAACGATGGGGCCAAACTTTAAGCACAACTCACTAGATGATGTCTTCTGTGACAATGGCAACCAGAACGCCACTCTACTGACAAGACTTGATGTACAACGTCAAGAAAACTCCACATTGGACAAAGATACATACTGCCCCGACAGAGGTTTGAATTTTTGTTAAGCACGACAGTTCTTCGCCGTTTTGTCATTGTGCATGGTGTGGATCGGCCTCTGCAAGTCTTCGATCCTAGAGGTGTACTCGGCTCAGATCTCCTTTTCAGCATCTCTAGGGTCGCCAAGCTGCAGACGAGCAATCACAAGGAGGGCCACATCCAAGGTTCGTTGTTGCTTGATGGCCCGTTTTCCCATTTTCATACTAAACTGACGAGCGCACAGTGCTTCCTGGCTCAAATGCGTTTGCAGATAATCACAGAAGCTGACAAAGTTAAGCAGAATGAAAAACTGCACTTCAAGAGAATGCATTAGGCAATCTTCTAATCATAACAGTAGTCCAAGATTGTATCGGGAAT